TTTCTCAATATTTTGATTTTTTTGCACCCTCAGATTCCAGATTTTCAAATAGTTGTATCTCGGCCAAATATTGTCCGATCCTAACAAACCATACATCAATGGAAAGCTGGTTTATTCAGCATGTATAAATCTGAATTTTGAAAAATTGACCCTTGTGACTGGTTTTGTGCTCCAGGGTCACATTTACCAGCAGCTCAGATGCTAGAACGTCTTTAAGACTGAATAGAGTTTCTCTGTTCTAACTGGATGCTGTATTTCAGACGAGACGGCCGTCTGGGAGGTTTTTGAAGAAACCGGAGTCCGATCCCAGTTCCGATCTCTCCTCAGTATCCGTCAGCAGCACAAGCTCCCGGGAGCGTTCGGGATGTCCGACATGTACCTGATCTGCAGACTCAGCCCGCTCTCCCACCATATCAACCTCTGCACTCAAGAGTGTCTGCGCTGCGAATGGCTCGATCTGTCTGAACTCGCCGAGACCAGCGAGACCACGCCGATCACGAGCCGCATCGCCACACTTCTGCTGTACGGACTGGACAACGGTTTCCACGACATCGACCTCACAATGAAGCAGCTGCCGGCCGTATATCCCGGCTCGTTCTATCAGCTGTACCACAGACGACTGCCAGAGGTGTAGAGACGTTATAGAGCAGCACTACACTGCACTAAATCATGTGTTTTGTTTTCCAGTACAAATATCTAAACCTTCTTAAATCAAGATACATTTACTGGAGAAAAAATGACTTGTTTTCTAAAAAAATGTATCAAATTAAAGTGAGTTTATGCGTAAAACAAGAACAAATATCTGCCAATGGCGTCAGAAAAATAAACATATTTCAAAAGAAAAACAATATTTGCATATATTTTTTTAAGCATGAACTCACTTAATTTTGACATTTTTCAGAAAACAAAATTTTATATCTTTAAGTCATTTTGCATCTCAAGTAAATGTGTCCCGATTTAAAAAAATTAAATAAAATAGATATTTGTACTTGGAAATAAGACAAAAACTAAAATTTTTTGCAGTGCACTCTTAAAAATAAACAACTGAATACGGTTTGGATTTCATGAAGACTGTTTCATATCTTAGAAATATTTGGGTCTTATTTTACACCAAAGTCTAAATGTTTTGAATAATGAAAATGAAGCCTATTTTTACATTTCTCAGTTAATAACTCTGCCGTGCAAAAATACCTTATATAATAAAAAAAATTACATACAGTATTATATATATTATAAAGTACTTTTGTGAAATATCAAGAGAGTATTTGGGTTACACTTTATTTTAAGGTGTCCTTGTTACAGTGTAATTATACATTTAAGTGCTGAGTAATATTAATTAGCTACATGTACTTACTATATGGTTAGGGTTACTTGCATGTAATTATGCATAATTAATTGTTATTATAATAGTAAGTAAATGTAACGTGTAACAAGGACACCTTAAAATAAAGTGTTACCTTTGTAGTGTTTGTAATAGATTTCTCAGTAATGGCACCAAGAAGAAAATCCTGGCTCTAAAAATACTTAATTTTCTTTATTTTACACATAATTTCTTCATGAGATTCACACCAGAATTTTTTTTATCTCTTAGTGCTATAACGAATGGAGTGTTTTTAAAAGCAAAACGGTTCTTGATAAAGTTTCCTTGTTCCTCTGAAGTTGCAGATGGACCAGTTTTAGTTTCTGAACTTTATAATACGTTACCTCGCCTAATCTGCCTAATCGGAGGTTTTAGAGTTTTTAATCAAGTTTTTAATCATCTGATTTCTCAGTTACCTCAACAAAAAAAAAAAGATAAACTGTTACTGTTAATCTTATTGTTACTCACAGCAACAATGTAACTAAACTAAATAGAAACTATGTTTCTTAGCCAAGATGATATATATATATATATATGAAAAAGAGAATAAAGTTTTTGACATTCATGATGTACTTCATCAAAGTGAAACTTTGTGTTTGCAAAACCCTTTCTTTCTCTAAAATACAGTATAGAAATACTTGCATATACAAGCCTTTTGCATAAAGGAGCAGCATTAAAGTAAACTCACATTTTGTAGCCGTACTAAACACACTCGTGCGAGAAATGCAGTCACGAATTCACGAGCGTATAGTGCAGATAAGTGAACTCTCCGAGCCAACCCGAGGGAATCGAGTGGAATAAGAGAGTGTTTTGGAAAGTTGGATCTGAGATCATATCGGTGGGATTTGGGGTCAGAATTGACGAAAGCGCCGAGTCTCTCTTCTGCGGATATTGCTGATATCTCCAGGGTGACCAAACACGAACAAATAAACCTGTAATGCTCTCCAAGTACATCTGTTTTGGGAAGCGTTCCTAGATAGAAATGCTGAAGGGAAGTGTTTTTTCCAGACACGCTGAAGAATCTAGACTTCTCCGGATGAGCTGATCGTCGGTTAGAAGCGCGTCTGCGTCAGGGGTCTGTCGGTCTCGCTCTGTGTTTGACCGCATCTCTCCATCAGCACTTGGCTGACATGGGCAGAAACAGAATGGCCTTCTGGCCCGGGCTGGTCTTCGAACCCGCTTTATACTGGCCTGTTCTCTTCAGAGCCACGTACCAGTCGGGATACTTCCGGGATCGGTACGTGTTGTAGTTATTCGACTCCAGGCGCTCCAGAAAATAACATTCATCTGTTGTTCTCCTCTGAGAGAGAGACAGAGAGAATGACGACATTAACACACATCACTGTTGCATAATTTTAAGCATTAAATACCATTTACCATCAAAAATATATAATCAGCTGAAGAACACAACATTGTAACTCAAATTGTACATAGGCCTCTGTTGTGATGAACAGTGTTACTTTTAAAAGTAATGCATTACAATATTGCGTTACTCCATGAAAAAGTAACCAATTGCGTTACTTAGTTACTTTTTATGGAAAGTAATGCGTTACGTTACTTTGGCGTTACTTTTTGTAATTTGCTTATTTGTTTGTTAATAACAAAAAACCCCAAAGTCATGTTTTTTGGCGACTGTAAGGGCCCTTTCACACCAAAAGTGAAGTTAATAATCCTCATGCTGAAGAAAGTGCCTCTGTTTTCTCAGATTTCTCTGTGTGAGTGAATAAATGGGAAAACAAAGTAACTTGTGTTACTTGTTTGAAAAAGTAACTCGGATATTTCATTTTAAATTTAAAAGTAATGCGATACTTTACTAGTTACTTGAAAAAGTAATCTGATTACGTAACTCACGTTACTTGTAACTCCCAACACTGATGAAGGCCTCTCATTAACACAGCTCAAATTGTACATTTACTTCTGTTTTGCAATTTTACCATTGATCCAAACAATGTAGTTCCTCAGAAACAGTTGTGGTTGCAACAAAGTGGTTGCCGAGCAACACACAAACGTAAACAAAGGTGTATGTTACTTTGTAGAGTAATTTACAACAGCTTCGAACGTGGCTCAGCCAATCAGAATCAAGCACCGGAACTATCTGTTTTATAATACAAATTTGTCACTGTAAAATATATAATCAGCATAACGATTGATTAAAGTTAAAGTTTTGAAGTTCGAAAAATTGAACTGAGAGACCTTCATCACTAATGGCAAAATAAAGACAAGTCATTGTAGCTTAAATTGTACATTTATCTAATTAAATATCTAATTTTTTCACTGCAAAATATATCATAAGCAACAACTGGAAAAAGTTTTAAAGTTGAATTGTCATTAGTGATGAAAGTCTTTCATTAATGCACATCATTGTAGCTCAAACTGTACATTAACTTCTGTTTTGCACTTTTAGCATTACAAGTAATTGTTTTCAACACAAAACATATAATCAGCTTAACAACAGGTAAAAGTTCAGTTTTGAAAAGTTTAATTAAGAGACCTTCATCACTAGCGACAACATTAACACACATCATTGTAGCTCAAACTGATACATTTACATTTAATTCTGTTTTGCATTTTTAGCGTTAAATACCTTTTTGTCACTATAAAATACCGTATTGGGCCGAATATAAGACGACCCTGATTATAAGACGACCCCCCTTTTTCCAGATGTACCTTTTGGAAAAAGGCTTTTTAAAAAACAATTTTTTTTTTCTCACAGCCCTGCAGAGTTTTGCTTCAACCCTAATCAAACACACCTGAACAAGCTAATCAAGGTCTGTACAGTTACTAGGAAGCTACAGGCAGGTGAGCTTTAATTGGGGTTGGAGCTGAACTCTGCAGGGCTGCGGCTCGGACCGGAGTTTTCAGATGTATTTCCAAGAAAAAAACATTGTCTTATATTCGGGACAATACGGTATATAATCAGCGTAACAACTGGTAAAAGTTTGAAAAGTTAAATTGAAAAATGCATGTTCCTCAGTATGTGTGTGCTTTGATAGCAGCAGCTACATGAACTAAACCCAATGATCATGTTCTCCAGCATGATTTAATCCTAAAACTTTGTCCCGAAAAAAGATTTTCGGATCCCTTTGAGCTCAAACCTCAGCTGTTTTCTTCTATCGAGTCGTATTTCAGCTACAGCAGTAAAACTGTGCTGCAATATTAGCATTTGTCATCTATTATCTGCAGCAGCTTGCGAAACACTGCCGTTTATTAGGGGAATACTCTGTCTTTTCCTGAGCAGCTTGAGAAACGTCTGGAAAACGTCTCCTAACAGGAATGTGAGACTGTCAACCCAGCGCTTCAGGCCACTGTGGCTGTTTTATGTGAGCTTTGTAATGTTGACATGCTGCTCATGTTAAAGCCAACACTATCTGACGTGTTTCAGATTAAAACAGGATTTTAAACGAGAATAAATGTGTCTCTACACTCTTAAAAATAATTCCCATTGAGAGAATGAACCTTTAACATCCATGGAACCTTGCCAAGGTTCTTTACAGTATAAAAAGGTTCTTTAGTTTATTAAAATGTTCTTCACGCTTAAAAAAAAAAATGTTCTTTTAAGAATTGATCACTGGAAGGTTCTTTGAGGAACCAAATTATTCTTAATTAGTATTTTTGTCCTCTTTTCCAGTGCAAATATTCAAACATTCTTAAGCCTCTGGTGCTCTTCGGTCATTTTTAAGTGAAAAAGTTTACACTGTGGTTTTTTATAATTTTTTAATTCATCAGAACAGTATGACACTTATTAAAGGTTTTGGCACTTGTCACGCAAACACAAAAAAATCATGGACATTCGAAAGGGTTAATTGGTCCTAAAACAACAGTCACACTTATACTCCTCGTGGTGAAAAGTGACTGCACTGGAAATGAGTGAGAAGCGAATATTATCTAGTGGAAACGTTTGGTACTGCGTGCAAACAAAATCTTATTTTTTGTGATATCAACCTCAGATTTGGAACACAACTTGTTTAGATCGATTCCTTTGATTTTCCTGAAGTAGAGTAAAACATTTTTTTGGGGAAAATAAATATTTCACATAAAATTTGAAAATAGTATTTTTGTGCATTTTTCTTTTTTTAACTTCATTTTTTAAATGCACATTTTATGTTTTTCACTGCAGCAATAATCTGCAGAGTGTCTTCTTTAAAAAGTATTCAATCTAAAAAACTTTTTTGTTCTCCAGAGCATTGAAGATGAAAATTTTATTTTCAGATCTATGCTCAAAAAGTGCAGGTAAAAAAAAAGATTATAACTACTGCATAAATATAATTTAGTACCATAAAGTCCTGTAAAAATACAAAATATTCAATAAAATATAGTACGTTCACCTCATTAAAGTAAAAAAAGGTCATTTTTGACCACCACAAGATGAGCACCAAAGGGTCAAGATACATTTACTTAAGAAACAAAATGACTTATAAAGTGCATTTATGCTTTATAAAAAGAAACATACCTGCCAATGGGTTCAGAAAAATTCAAAGGGAAAACAATGCAGATATTTGTTCTTGTTTTAAGCACAAACTCACTTCATTTTGATATTTTTCTCCGAACACAAGACTTAATATCTTAAATCGTTTAGCTTCTTTAGTAAATGTATCTTGATTTAAGAATGTTTGGATATTAGTACTGGAAAACAAGACAGAAATACTCAGTAAAAAAATCATTTCTGTAGTGCAAAAATGGTTCAGCACTGCTGCCAAAACAGCCTTTTGAAACCTTTATTTCTATATATGAAGGTGGTTGATGGCGTCAGATGAAACATCGAGACTTTAAAAGCTTTAGTTCGGTTTCATTCTAGAGCCGACGCTGATGTTTCCTCTTGTGAGTTTTGAACAAGGAGCGCTGGCTGTTCACTGACTGTTGTGCAACACTTCCGTCATCAATGTAAGCATTGTTTCAGGAGCACAGAGACTCTCACAGCTCTAATCAACTCTGAGTCTGTGTCTATTTAACCAGATTCTGGGGTCAAATTGGTGAACTAAAATAAAAACAACATGTCTATGAAATGCCCCCATTCAGATTTACTTAAGTGTGTGAGTGTGTGAGTGTGCGTGTGTGTGTGTGTGTTTGTGAGTGTGTGTGTGTGTGTGTGTGTGTGTATAGATCGTGTGCCCAAATGTAAAGCAAACACAGGCACAGGATCTTTACACTGAGCTGCTGTTTGTGACGTGATTCAGATTTTCAGTTTCATACAAACAAACGATCAAAAGAATCTCAAGCATCCTGATACCGCGGTACAATGTGAATGTGTTCACAGGAGTCAGACTCTTCTGACGTACTGATCGGTGCTTTATATCGAACTCTTAAAGAAGATTACAGATGAGCTTATGATTCCCTAAACCACATCAACGGAAACAGCTTGTGTGAGTGTGTGTGTGTGAGTGTGTGT